AAAGGTCTTATAGGTATTGAATTTGTATGTTGTTTAGCTAAAACTAGTTATTTAAAACTTATTCAATTCCTACTATTAGTTCACAATCTCCTTATATCTAGTTTTAATTTACAATCGTTAATAACATACATTTTAAAGCACTCAATTGAGCTGAAATTTTATATTTACGATTATTTTGGATGACATTACACTAATATATTTATAACTAATAAAAATTATTTAGTAAAAAATTAATTATTCAAACCATTAAGGTTACAGCCCCTTTGGCATTATTTTTGGCGACTTAATGACCATTTTGGCGACTTGTGTTAAAACTTTAAAAGGTTTTTTATCTCATATTTTAAAGTGCTCATTTGAGCTGAAATTTTCTATACATGATTGTTTTGGGTGACAATACGATAATTTAATTATAATGAGCTAAAATTAATTTCTGAAACTAATTACTTACAGTATTACAGATACGAAACCACTTTGGCTACATTTTTAGCCACTTGGGTCAAAAAATTAAAAAGCTTCTTTTTTTCCCCTCACGTTTTAAAGCATTCAGTTGAACTGAAATTTTATATACACGTTTGTTTTGGATGACAATAAGATACTTGAATGAGAATTAATAAAAAATAATTGCGACTTAATATTGTGATTATCTCATGTGTATATAAATTTTATAATAATTATAATTATTTAATAAGAAGTGACCAAAATAAAATTTTTCTTTGTTGATTTAAGTAGGAATTGAGTGGATTAAAACGCCCTTTTTGTTTTATTTATTTCAGATAAGCCAATCAGCCGGATTCGTGGAGGAAGTGAGCGTCCATTTTTTCGAGGCGGGTGTGTTCAGAGCGCTATAACTCACGTTCTATTAGATATTTTTGCCTGAACATTTATATACACACTCTTAAAATACATATAAATAAATAATAAAAAAAACTTAAAGTTCTATGTCTTTACTGGTCGTTAAAATAAGATGCCTAAAAATGCTTAAAATTCAGGCCGTCACATAGGTGAACCTCCTTAAATAATTTTTTTAGTAATAATATCTTAATACAGTTTTATGTGCTTTTTCTAATTAAACAAACACTAAATATTAAAACGATATTCATTTATATGAGTTTTTACAAATTTTTAGTTTCGAACGCAGTCAGTCGCCAGACTAAAGAATATAAAAACATATAACATTACGTAAATCACTGCAAAATACACAAAATATTTTTGTCTAGTTTAAACACAAACATACTTTTTTTAAATACTTCCGTATTCAAGAATGCATGTTGTTCAATTCCAAACAGATATTATTAATTGTCCTTTCATTATTTTATTAACAGAAGTAGACGACCTGACATGTTAAAAAAGTAGAACAACAATATACAGTCAGACGATAATGTTACTTACATACAGGAATCGATTAAACAAAAATAAATTGGAACAATAATTATCGTTGCCACGGTACAAACGAAATAATTAATTACTTCGTCTTTAACTGTCGGAACTCCTTAAACGGAACGGGAAGATGCGCTTAAAGTTCTTTTCCAAAGGGATTTACAAAGAATCTGTGGCACAAGTTGCCACACACATATCACGAAATTATTTCTAGCAATAATGTTTCTATACATTGTCATTGTACTCGATATAGCAGCCTCATTTTCCGTGAGTAAAATAGATAGTCTTATTAAACCTTTTAGGCCTTTATTTACCTAATTAGTTGGAACTCTTTATGTATATTGCTGGGTCATATTGACTGAACCTTCCCACTGCCAAATTATTTTTTTATTTCGATCAAAAATGTTGTCACAAATTTCGCATAACTGATACGTGAACCTTTAAATTGCTATTTATTTTTGGAATATTTCTTTTCATGGGATGATACTGTCAAATTATAGTTATTATCAGTATTACATCTGATTATGTGTAACTGGGTTTTAAATGTGTCTAAAAGATAAGAATTTACAAATATTTTTCTCGATAATACCTCATACATAAATAACTATTTTTATTACAAAAATTAATTTTAGAACTGAGGGGTTGAAATAAAACAATGTATTTGAAAATTAAAAAAAAAATAATTGTAGAAAAAAATTGTAAACTACATTTTACTTAGTTTTTGAAGTAAAAGGCGTATTTATAAATGACATTTTAATTCTTTTTTGGTATTAAATAATTTGAGGTAATCAAATATTGATATGAAATAAGGCTTTGTACAAAATTAATGATTTTGTAACTCAATATTAAGATTTGGATTGTTTTATTTTACAGAAATTGTATTATTTTATTTTACACAGTACTAAAAGATCCGTGCAAACATTTTTGCTATTTCTAATGTAGAATTCTATTTAATAGTTTACTAATAAATAAATAAACCAAAATTAACCATAAATTTTTATTTATATTTATATCACGTCAATGGTTTAATCAGAATTTTTGTTTCACATATAAAAGTTGGGATTAAACAGGTTATTATTTTTTGATAATAGATTAAAACATCAATTTTACTAAATCATATAACGACTGTCGAGAAAGCAATCACGCGCCTGCTCATGCATATTTTTCCGTAAATAAATCTGTACCTCGCATTTTGTGCGTAAATTCTTCTTCATAACCTTTTACTAAAATGTAGTGAATAAGAAATCATATACTCCACTACATTAACTCTCTGTTAATATAACTCCATCCACGAACTTTATAGAACAAATATATGAATATATATATATATATATCTGGATATATATCGAACATCATTGAAAGGGACAGGTATGGAGGTCGCGGTGTTCTCGTTAGGGAGGCATCATAGTCAACGGGACCCGTTATTGTAACGATATTCTTCTTATATCTTTTATATGGGTCTGCAGTTATTTATGGATATAATATATATATATATGCCGAACATAGAGAGTGAGGATATATGGATTGGCCGGCACGGTCTTCCGGATCTCAATCCCATCGAGCATGTATGGGATTTTCTAGGCAGACGTGTACCACCAGTAACGATTAGGGAGCTTCGAATTGGCAGCAGACGTGTGTTGAAGCAGAGATGTTCTTCCATATTGCTTTTGGACACCATCACAGGGAAATGTATTACTATATATTTTCTTAAAGTTAAGATTTCTCTTTAGAATCCGACTACGTTCAGAACCATGATTTTGTTATATTGAAAACCGTCTCGTCCTTAAAAAGCGTATAAATGGATAATATTTATTATATTTAAAGACACTTACAATAGAAAATTTATATAAAATTGTTTTATGAATATTATTACAGTAAAAATTATTTAACTACAATATTTTGACAAAAAAAGAACATAGAATGACCAATATTCAAAATATTCTCCTTTTGTGAAAAATGCCTCTATTATAATAATATTTTGCCTGTATATAGCTCAAATCTCTCCCCAGAGGCTCAACTAGAATTTTTGAAATATATCACTTAGAAGTGGGTTTAGCCATATATTTTACGACAACAGAGGGAAGCAATTTTAAGAAAAAAACGCCGATAATTATTTCAATTGGTGGTAACTCTGAAAATAATGTGAACTTTTCAAAACTCCTAGTTCTGACTCTCTGGAAAAGTCTTTATTTTGTATAAGTAAAATATTATTATTTTAGAAGCATTTTTTATAAAAAGGAGTACATTTTGAAAAGAGATTATTCTAAGTTAATAATTTGCCAAAATATTGTATTTAAATAATTTTTTGTCAAAATGACAAAACAATTTTATACATGTATTCTAATCTAAGTGACATTAAATATCATGAAAATTATACATTCAATCGCATTTTTAAAATTACTGTTCCGAACGTAGTCGAATACCTTAATGAGGAAAAATTAGATGTTTTCTCAAAGTGTTCTAATCATTATATGTTTGTGTTCTGTGAATCTTTGAAAATAGGACCCCGCCATGTCTTAATTTTGGTAAATTTATATTCAGACGATTTATTTTTCATGGACAATAATGTGCATTTCCTTCATATTCATTATTTACATATTCATACAGTAAAATACACATTTATTCAAATGCAGTCATAACTTCTTTCAAAACATTGTGATAAATCTGATCTCAGTTCTTATTCCTCGAGGAAGTTATCCATTCAGAGTAAAGACGACTTAATATTTTCAGGGGGTTTGTCTAACCATGAGGCCTTTGAAAATAAGCTCTACGTAAAACCGAATATATTTTTCTCTTCTACCAGTGATATATTCAAATATTATGTATTCTTACCCACCTACCACTTATTCTACCCATTCCAACAAGTACGCATTGAAAACCAAATATTCTAATCAGTCATTGACACATGTATAAGGTGCCAAATGTTTCCCGGTATTATGTAGCCGAACTTTTATTGGTTATTCGGGAACGTTTCACACTCATTTAGTTGACTAATCGGAGTTAACTTTGATGGTATGACTCATTTGGGTGAGTGAGTTAATATGAATGTTGCACTATTCAGCTACGTGTGGGCTTTTGGTAACGTACCTCGTAATTTTGAACCATGTTCAAGTAGCGAGGACCAGACCTGAGCTGGCACTACCTTTTCTAGTTTAAACACCAACGGGAATGTGTTTGAGCATCGACATATTTAACGTGCTTTGGCCTCCTCTGAACGGTGGGTCTTTAACGGTACTAGGTTTGAACTCATGGCATGCCACCAACTAGTCAATTACCTTAACCACTAGGGTATTGCTGACAAGGCTTATACTGGAGCCTTTTTGAAAAAAATCATGCTATAGTTTAATTTTTTATTGCCTTAGTTTTATGAGAATAGCAGGGTAGCGGTTTTCACGCAATTTCTACTCTTAGTTCACACTCTCCCTCTTGTTTAAACTTCCAATCGTTAATAAAATACTTTTTATTCATCCATTCAATTTCAAGCATATTTTTAAATTTGTAGCACATGACACTTGATGTTAATACAGTTTTTTCAAGTATTAATTCATTAATTATATTAAAAATTAAATAAATAGTAACAAAAACAAAAATAATAGTAAAACACCATATATAAAAATGAAATCCATCCCTTGTGTCCCTATATGTTGGACTTCTAATCCAAAGGTCGTGGGTTCGAATCCCACCTGGGATGGCCTGATTTCTGAGAATGTAATTTCTTTTTACTATACTATTTTATTGGAATAATAAATTTAATTAATAAATAAATAGTAACAAACAAAAATAATATTCCAACACACTGTATATAAAGGAAAATGGAAAATGGCAAGGAAAATCGCTTTCTATTTTGGTACTTGATAATGAGATTCTGTCGTATGTATATACATATTTATATTATAATTGGAATTATTTAATAAAAACTTCCTAAAACAAATTTTTCCTTTTTGATCTAAGTACGAATTCACTTCAATGATTTGTATATTAACTGTGTGTGTGTGTGTTGTTCTTTTTTCACTTCTAGTAGGTACTGAGTTTCTATAAAATATGTTAAACTTTAATTAAAAAAAATCGTTTTTCTTTTAATATTTTGATTCAAATAAGGTGCAAGTACAACCTCTTACAATTAGGTTTGGCGAATAAAGTCACAACGGCTGATCGGGAAAAACTAGCGAAACAAAACGCTACACATGTGCAGTGGCAGGTGTTGTTAAATTGCCTCCACTGTCGTTCAGTTGAGCATCGTTTGGGTTCCGTGTAAGACTTGTTTTACAAAGTACTGGTTTAGTGCTTTGGTTTCCTAACTGAGAACAGGAAAATGAACGAACAAAATATCAATTTTAAGTTTTGTTTTGAGCTTGACAAACACCGAAAGAAACATATGCGATGCCAGTACGTGTTTATGAAGATCAAACACTATTCACGAAATGGGTGTAAAAATTCCGTGTACGTCCGTTTTTGAGCAGGCCCGGGCAGAGTTTTTGTCGTCCCCCGTCACGGAAGACCGGCAACCTCCGTTAGTGACGAAAACATTCAGAAAGGGAGTGTCACTTTTTTTGATAGTCAAGGCATTATCAACAAAGAACTTCTGCGTCAGGGTACGATGATGAATCCTGCAAGGTAGATTAAAGTTTGACCCGTACGCAGGGGGGGTACGACCCCAATACGTACAACAAGGTTCATGGTTTTTTATGCACTACCCACAATGCTCACCCTCACATAGCAAATACCATCAAACAGTCCCCAGCAAAATTTGAGATTGAGCAAATTTGACATCCTCCAACACTCGCCAGATCTCAATCCTTCAAACTTCTTCCTGGTCTCCCGACTGAAACTCGGTTTGAAAGGAAAGAGATTTAACGATAATCCTGACAACTAACGAAACATGACGAGGCTTTTGAACTTTATTGCAAAAGAAAATTTTTTGCAAAGTTTCCAGGACATGTATAGCAGATCTTATCGGTGCATAGTTATAGAAAGTGACTATTTCGAAGTACAGTAAGGTAACTTTCATTAATATTTCATTTACTTTAATGCTACAGGACTATTCACCGAACTTTATTGGCAGAGGTTGTACATAACTTTTTGACAGCTATTATTGGGAATTGTAAAACCAGAGAAATATTTATGAGAATTTATTTTTAATAATAATTCTATAACAAAAATCGCTGATTCGTTAGAGTATCTTTAAGGCATCCGACTACGTTCGGAACCGTGATTTTAAAAAAGCACATAAAGGGATAATATTTATGATATTTAGTGTCACTCAGTTTAGAATACATGCATAAAATTGTTTTAAGGACATTTTGACAAAAAATAATAATTTAAATATAATATTATTTTGACAAACAATTAACTTAGAATAATCTTTTTTCCAAATGTTTTCCTTTTGTGGAAAATGGTTCGATTACAATAATATTTTGCCTGTATATAGCTCAGACTTCTCTACAGAGGCTCAACTAGAATTTTTGAAAAATTCATATTATTTTCAGAGCTACCATCAATTGAAATAATTATTGGCGTTTTTTTTCTTAAAATTGCTCCCCTCTGTTGTCGTAAAATATGAATAAACCCACTTCTGAGTTATATATTTCAAAATTCTAGTTGAGCCTCTGTAGAGAGGTCTGAGTTATAAAAAGGCAAAATATTATTATAATGGAACCATTTTTCACAAAAGGAGAACATTTGGAAAACAATTTTTAAAATGGGTCATTCTATGTTCATTTTTTTCAAAATATTGTACTTGAATAATTTTTATTGTAATACTATTTTTAAAACAATTTTATGTACATTTTCTAATCTAAGTGACACTACATATCATAAAATTATCCATTTATGCGCTTTTGCAAAATTACGGTTCCGAACGTAGTCGGATCTTAAGATGCTTTAACGAATCAGCATTTTTCTTATGAAATTTCGGTTGTATTTTTAAAATTGGCGAAAAACTACTGTCTATAATACCCAAATTTATTAAATTGAACAAATTATGCTCGCCGTGCGTCTACTGAGTGCAACTGTTAGTAGGATTTCATGCATGGATAATAATAATTTCGCTTCTAAAATGCTTGGAAGAGTTTTAATTTGTCAGACAGCTGGTATTTGATTTATAAAATATTCGTGATAATATTTTTACTACCTTAAAACAGATAAAAACACAATAATGACTTTCCTGAATATGAGCATTAGTAGAATTACTTAAAAAGACTAAAGCAAACAAAGCCAAAGACAGTATTAAAATGGTTATAATGCATGTGACTTCCAAGAGTCATTTACTAGAGTTTGCAATTTTGGACACTATCCAAAACAAGCCCTATAAAAAATTCTAAAAAACTTAGCATTTTTTATGGAGAAAGAATGTGACAAGAATTACATTTAAATGTAGCATTTCTTTTTTGTCAATATGGAAAAAAGTAAGCTGACACATATGTGCTTTATTTATCTTTATTTTTCTCATATACACATATATATATATATATATATATGTATATAGATGTCGAAAAAATATTACTTGAAATATATGAAGCAAAAATTAAAGTTCTTCGCATATTTTTCCCATAAATGCATTTTTAAAAAATAAAAAACTGCTCTATTTCATTCAGATTGTGCTATCAAACACATTTCCTGAACCATGAAAATAATAAATATTTGTATAAACATTTGTTTGAAAATTATAAAAAACAATTTATAAAATTATAAATATTTTTTCCTCACATCATTGTGGCAAGAATAGCAAACAAAATCATTTATGCATTTAATTACCCATACACATGAATATATTTATAACCGAAAAAAGATTTCATTTTATTCAGATTTCAAAGTTTTTTTATGTATGCATGATTATTAGCACTGCCCATAGTGCTGGATGGCTCAAAATCCTAGTTGAATTATCGAGCTGAAAATGAGTATAATATGGAATATAGTCACCGGTTACAGACACATAGATTACGCAGCGTGACGACATAGTGTAAAGCAGTATAATGAGTTTCTATTGCACTCTATTCCCTTCCAGGGGCAAGGCAGGTTTTAGTTACGGGGTGGTTCTCGAATAGATATGACGAGATGCAATTGCTTTCCCAAGAACGTCCCAAATATGCTCTACAAGGTTAAGGTAGAGCAGTGTTTCTCAAACTGGGGGGTGCAAGCATATTGAAAATAAAAGGTTTAAAAAAATAATTTTGGGGAATGAAATAAAACAAAATGCTTTCTGACGTAATAAAAATACACATTTACACTAATATAATTTACTTTTATCATCTGGTGATCATCAAAAATAAAAGATTCCATTTCAAACGCTCATTAGCCATCTTTGATCCTATAACCAAATAAAAAAATTGCTTTACTGTAATCCCACGATGAGAGATTTTTTTATTACGTTTCTGTTAACCCCTAAAATACTACTTTTGACTATCACATATTTGACCTTCAAGCTTACTGGTATGTTTCACTCCGTGTCTTTTTCTTTTAGAAAAGTTGTAAATAATATTTTTCTGTTGCTTTGTTTCCCATGTGAATGAGTTTTATAAAATATGTGGATAAGAATATTGAGTATGAAGGATTATTTGGCCAAGATGTACTTTTAAGGGTATTCTGAAACATATAATGCATAATGAAAAACGTTTTACACAATTATTTTTTAGAACCTGCTACACGTTTCTCATGAACAATTTTGTGGTTTTGATTGCTGTGTTGTACGAGTTATTATGGTTTATAAATGTAAATGAGCAGAATATAAAAAATGGGCATCTGAGATCCTTATTGAAGGAAGTTGAAACTGATCAAGCAATTGAAGAACCTGCTAAAATAATGCATATTAGTCAAGATATAGCGAAATATGAGAAAAGCGTTAGACATGAAACGTTTGAGTTTATTTGAAAGTTTCAAATGCTGCCTAAAAATCTCTATGAAGAAAACTATGAACCCATAATGTTGCACTTTGCCTTGTCAAAAAGTCACAAGGAAGAAAAAGTTCAAACTGCTATTTGTAGATCATCAAAACGACAGCAAAAGTACAACACCGTGAGCAAAATATGACAGTTTTGCGGGGAAATAACGTTCCTGTATTGTTAGCGAAAAGTGTTTGTGTGATTTATGTAATTTATTAAGGATACGCACATTTGGAACATATTTTCTTAAGTTTTATTGTATTTTTTTCTCAAATTGTCAAAGAAAAATGGAAAAGTAATTGAAAGTAGGTAAGCATATTTTCTCTAAATTAAATTATTCACTTCAATTGTGATTTTTATCTTGTATAGTAAAATAATTATAAAATAAACTATAGTCTAAAAAAATAATAAAAAACACGCTTTTATAGTGAATCGAACTAAAAAAATAAATAAATAAAAATATACATTACTTAAAAGTAACATATACAAAATTTAATAATTATCTTGTTAATTTGTGCGATTTATAATTATGATCGCATTGTAGTTTTAGCGACAAAAAGTGCATTATTATTGCCTTCAATACATTATTATTTTTAGGGGGGCGTGATAAAAATTATAATTGGAAATTGGGTAACCAGAGTAGTGAAAGTTTGATAACCACTGAGGTAGAGAGATGTAGCTGAGCAGCTAAAACGATGATATCATCACTCTCCAGGTAATCGTCAACTAGCTGGAGCCAGAATGGATGAGAGTTATCTATTTACAGAAATCCAGTACTAACTACGTCTTTGAAAAATTAATCATTAGAACTCTTT